TTGAGCCCAAACTTTTTGATACATGTTTCTTTTTTAGCCATAGCAAGTCCTGGTGATGTTGCATTGACAGCGCTCCTTAGATTGCATGTGCGGACTGGGGAGGGACACGTCGCTGACGTCGCTGCGTCTTAGCTCGTCCAGAAGAGGTCCAAAGAGGCCATGATGAAAATCGCAGGACGCAGAGCTGATGCAAGTGGCGGGGCATCCTGGGACGTGAAAGGCCTGCTTGTTGTAATAACCTTGGAACGATAAAACATACAAACCCCTATGATCAATGATATTGCATACATGTAACAATGTAGCTCATAGATCTCATCATTTTTCTGTTGCACTCGGACACCCGTCTCGCGGTCGCCGAACTCAGGTCGTCCAGCCGGGTGATTTGCTGATCCTCGGCCCCTTGGGTATGGCGGGTCGAAGATGGTGTCGTCGGCGGTTCGAGCCAATGTCAATGGTGTCCGTTCGTTGCCGAACGAGGCTTTGGAGGGTCTATAGAATTTCTGTGATGTCGGCGATGGAGCGTTTTTCAGCGAAGGTGAAGTGTCTGAGCGAAGGTCGTTGTCTCGTGAGCTCTAGGCACGGATGGCCTTTTTGACAATCTCTGGCAGCATGAGGCGGTGGAAATCCAGTGCGATGAAGTTTCAAATAGATAAATTATGATAAATTGTGTAGAGCAAATCTTCATTTTTTCTGTACATTAGGTGATATAAGGTGAGATTCAGCAAGGCAAAGCCGTAAATACAACGGGCGAGTGCCTCCTTTGTGCTTTGTAGTTTGCGTTTCGCAAACCTTCCCTGCAAGTTATTTCTGGGGCATGATCCATCGAGAAGTTCACCCTTTCCGTGCCGCAACAGCGCAGATCATGGATTTGGCCACCAAGGGTCCGGGTGCACAGACGCGCGGACGGAGACAACTGAAAGACCGGCGCGCAGTGTTTTGTCATACCTTGTGGTTTGGAATCCAGGCCTTCCCAGACATACTGTAGCCCATATATTGCAGGGCCGCCCCCATGTTTCTATAATATATAATATAACAAGACATCAAAATGAATATAAACTATATAGCTATGATACTTTATAATGCTATAATACAAAGAACATATGTAGAGACATATAGATATCTAGATAGATTCAGATAGCTAGCTAGGTCGATAGATAGATAGATCATGATAGATAGATAGATCATGATAGATCAGATAGATAGATCTTTCATGACAGCAAGACCACAACTACACTCAAGCGTAGGACCACTACGAAATGCTCGACGCATTGGTGTTGCAGCCTATTCAAAGCTCCATGGACATGTTACATGTTCCCTTTTCCTGTCTCATGTGCATTCATGTGCACCAGTGGATAATTTGTCTAAAACTTGCCAACTTGGCAACTTGGCGACTTCACTGAAGCTTCCGCCGAGGCCGCAGATCAGCTGCTCGGGACTCGGAGATACACGCACAGACCACTGCAAAAGGAAAGGTTGGTCAGTTTGAGGGAGGTAGATTCCCCGTGCAGGGGGAGTCTCTCAATTGCAAAGGGGTGGTAGGATCTGGTCGGGATGCTGGAGACCAACAATTCTTGCAGACCTCACGTGCTTGGACAGCATTCTGAAGATCCACGTGGCTTTGTTCTGCACATTGGTCCAGTGTTTTCGGCAACTGCTACGGTGGGGAACGAATGGGTGAACGCCCAATTGGTGTCCAATGGAATGCCTATTTGGTGTCTATTGGCAATGATGAGGATGTGATGATGTGGGAATCACGAAAGAGGCGTAAATCATTGCCATAGAATCAAAGCAATTGAATTGGCCAGGGTACGAACATTTCGACCAATATCGCGCTTTGTGATCGCGTTGCCATTGGGATTTCCACTTTTTCCCTCCACGTCACGTCGCGGCGACCTAGCACGTACCAAAGCCGAACCCTTATGGTCCGTTTTGTTCGCCCATCTGAGGCCAGCGGGCAAGAGCTGGCCAACACATTGGCTCAGGTGGGCAAGAGCTGGGCTCTCCAGAGTGGTTGGGCGCGCTCCAGCGCCAGGAAGTCTGGTCATGTTGAAGCCACAATGGGGGCGGTCTTTAACTGGAGCCCGAGGGAGACTTTGGTGACAGCGACTTCCACCGACTTCTCGTCTCAAACTGCATTCGTTTTAGTTTCGACACCATTGTCGAGGCTGAGAAAGGGTTTCCTTGCATCGAGGTCAAAGGATCCCTTTTTTGTTGTGCCAGGTGAAGAAAAGCCACCCGCAGTAGTAGGGAGAGAAGTGGTTGTTTCGTCGTTTTTGCGGGGCGAAGGAAGCGTCTTGGGGTACCTTCGACAGAGGGCCCCCCCATCTTTGCTCAACCTGAACACAAAATGTGGCCTCAGCTTGCGGCTCTGACCCCCAACTCTCCACGTTGCCAGGCTGCAAAGGACCAGTCGGAGTCCTCGAAGAGGCGTGGCCGGCGTGGCCTGCTTGGCATAGACCACTCTGTACCGAGATGTATAGTTTCTACATGTTTCTACTCTTTTTAGTGGAAGTGATACCATAACTGTGTTCCAAAGATCTTTGGGGGTCAGGCAAGTTATGGCAAGTTAGCTGCCCAAGTTTGCTTTTTGCTGCAGCTTCCTGAGGACGACTAATGCTGCATTCACTTGTTCCCCGGACGAGCTATTGATTGGGGAAATCGTCTACCTGGAATCCATGCAGAAAAACTCCCTGTTCCAAAAACACCCATTGAAGAGAGTTCTCATTTGTGACTCCCATCAAAAAAAAGGATATATACACATCACCAAAACTAAGAGCAGATATGACGTGCTCGACCTAGTCCACACAAGCATGTAAAGCAAGTCAAAGAAACTGATCAGCAAGATACAGCAAGGTTTTTTGGAGGCAAGGTTTTTGGAGATCACTTGTTTAGCAAAGGGCATCGCTACTAGGAGCAAGGACGCTACTAGGGGCTCCTGGCCTTACTACAAGGAGCAATGTTCGCTACTAGGAGCAAAGGTCTTAGCTGACCGCCCACAAAAAATTGGATGGCTTCCGGGCACCGGGACCAGCTGCGACGGTGTGAGGAGCCCGTTCGAAGTGGCCTGCGAGCGGTTCAGCGTAGCTTGGCTCGGGAGGGTGGCTTTAGATGGTCCGGTGGGCCCTGACCGGACCAGAACCACGGAGGTCCGGTGGTTCTTTGGAGTGCCTGGAGTGCCGGTGGTTCTTTGGGGCACTTGGCCTGATGGTTAATATCTATATGGAAGTATCTATGGAATGCCGATGGATCGCCTGAAAGTCAAACTGATGGTCGACGATGGAACATACGTCATTCCTTCGTGCAAGAGCGCAATTCATGCATTCACCAAACAAAAGAGCACTCCAACGTGTAGCTTTGCAGCTTTGCCCCAGGAGCTTGCAACATTTTTCCATATGGAAAAAGCATAACGGCAGCTGTCAATCTTGCTTAACATGTTCAAGGTTGGGATACGGGAACAGAGTGTGGATGGAATCACTGCCGCTGCCACTCTGAGTGATGTTGGACCAGAATTATGGCTATTGGAACAGCCAGATTTCCTGGAAGTAACACATCCAATTTCACGCCAACTTCACAAAACCTCACGCTGCATGTTCTCCCCTCAGACCGATCGGCTTGTTTGGATGCATTTTTTTCTTTTTGTCTGGAGAAGGATGTTAGCAATTTTATGGTGAAATAGGTACTCTTGCTCACACTAAAATCTTCAGAATCTACACACGTTTCGCTGATCGCGAGCAAATCTCCGCCCGTGCCGGACTAGCTGCTCCACCAAATCTAATTGTTTGCAAACAATGAGGGCCTTACATTTTATGATAGGCTTGCAGACGCTTACATAACTTATTGAACCACCAGATCATTTGAGTCATGGTGCTTTGGTATCCATATCAGACCCCCATAATGTACCGTAGTTATGTTGCATCCTTTTTCACTTCGAAGTTAAATTCAACATGGAAGGCTAGGGGCACGTCAAGACCCTGTGTTTGACAACCCAAGGTTTTCTTTTGCGTAAAGTGTTTTTCCACCGTTGTCTAACCTTTTGATTCCTTTGAGGATGGATGGCACAAAGGCGGCAAAGTTGACGACATCACGGCGGCAACGAGCCCAGAGGTTTGCTAAAACAATTGATCTCAGCTTGGTTAGTTGTTTGGGTCAGCAGGTGCAAATGAAAGAAAAGAAGCCGGGTAGAGAAGGAGAGAGGCAAAAAGGAAGAGCAAGGAAGTTGGCAAAGGAAAGGGAGAGTGGAAAGGCACAATGGAAAAGAAGAGCTGAAGGCTGAAGACTGAGATGGAGCATATCCCTCATCGGCAAGAGAAGGAATAGCACCAAAGGTGTGCTCCGAAGATGGAGCCGAAAACCCCTCGTCCAAAAATCTCATCTAGGTTCCTATGTGGTTTAGCGGGAGTTGGGTGACACTTGGCTTTCCTTGTGCCGGCCTATCAGGCGAATCTCCGTTACGGCACACAAACGTGTCGTGCGTTTCGTGAAACGAGGTTTGCGCATGGGTCGTGCCATCGTGATCCATCGTGCTGAGCTGATTTAGTAACAGTCCTGCTCTTCCAGTTCAACCACAGCTTGTGGTTTGGCCAGTGAATCTTATTTTCATGCACAGTGCGCAGGTAAGCGATATAAACAATATACAATTATACATAGCAACAATTAACTATTAACTAGCTTCGCGCTGGCTATGTGGGTGAACTGGAAGACCTTGAGCTGTCCTTGACGAGCCGAACTGTTTGCCGATGAAAAGGTCGTACCATGTCGTACTACAGAGTGGATATGCATTACCTCTCCAGAAATGCTTGAGTTGTTAAAAGGAAGCGTAGTCAAGACTTGGATTCTCCAGCTGCTGTGCTTTTGTTGCTTCTCTCGCAGGCTAGGGAAGAGCACCAGTACCTACGCTGCCAGATGTGAAGGGCTGTAATCAGATCATTTGCCTTACACTAAGAATACATTTTCTACTTGAACTAGAGCCCTCTGGGGGCAATGTGCGGCTACTTTGCGCCATGCAGTGGTTGGTTCTTCTGGCACTGCTACCCGGACTGGCTGCTGCACCGTTGTGGCCTGGCAGAAAAACAGAAAAACCCTTTGGTCGGACCCAGGTGGCATGGCCCTCGCAGCCGACCAGGTTTCTTGACGATTTGGGGGGCCGTAACTTCTCCTTCCATGATCTTCCATGATCTCGGTGAGTCGGTGAGGGGGAGGGTACATCGGATATTTTGCCATTCTGCTCGGGGAAATTCCCATATCCTAGGATATTGTTGCATGATGTTGCATGGTTGTTGCTCAAAGGTAAGACCCACATCCAGAGGTCTATTCATTTCGTCCCCTGTGACTTTGGATGGCATATGATGGCACTGGTTTTTGAGCCAAGATCAACGCCAATAGTGTTTGTATAGTACAAGTTGATGGACCATACTCTACCCCGCAGCCCCCCCCTCTCACTTTCTTTAAAGGCTACCGACCCCATCTTCCGTAAAAACACATGACCGTCTTCCCACCAGCGGAGCACGAGCGGAGCACCCAGGAAGAAATGGCAGGTCCTGGGACCCTTCGTCGTGGGCACCGCGACGAAACGGCGACGCCAGGAGCACGCGGTCGGGACAGTACACCCGAGGACATGCGAGGACGCGCGAGGACATGCGCGACGAGCGACTGTAAACGAAGCACGAAGCTTAGATGATCTTATATGATGATGTCAGTGGGGAGGTTGGTCGTTCTTGTGAAGATCATCGAATACGATTAGTTTACCATGGAACCAGTCCTTTGTTTGAGAAGAAATACAAGTGGGAGCTTCGCCGTTCAAGCGACTGTGAAAAGGAATCACTGTCGGTCTGTCCGATTCTTCATGTTTATCAGAATACGGTCGATGTTAGTGATTGTTGGGGAACTTGCTGTTTGATCCTTTTGTTCTCACAGCTCTTGTTCTTTCCCAAACTAGGTGAAACACCGGTCTGACCCAGCAATCCATCCGTTGCCTGTCTTCCAAGGTAAAAATGAGTTGGATGGTGAGCCCTGGAAGGCTCAAACGAACGGCTCACGCGCAAACGGCGCGAACGTCTCGGAGCTGGGCGATGTGCAAGTCACCTCGCGTCGAGCTGAAGCCAATGGCCTGGTCGCGGTTCAGTGGGAGGCCGAACGCGTTCGCCCGGCAATTTTTAGAATGGTGTTAAACATATTTTTGTTTTTTTCCGCTGAGGCGGAACGGAATGCGGAATGTCCGTAGCTTTGTTCGTTGTCTAAAGAGTCAGTGAAATCGAGATCTTCTAAATAGCTGATGTTTACAGAGTCTAAGAAAATCTAACAAACATTTGGCGCAATATGGCGCAATGGAGGTGTTCTTGTTCCATGGTGTTGTGTCTTGCTCAGCCGTGGCCATATGGTAAATGATAAGATGTGCATTTTACAATCTATTTTGTCCATTCGTGTATCTTACATGGAGCAGGAATTTAATTGGTTTGAATCCACGCGGGATCACATTGGCTTTGATCACCCCTCGCCATGTGCGGAGTGGTCGTTGATCTCCTCAGGTGGATTGGCAATCGTTGGTCTCGTTCGTGGGCGGCCATGAGCTTTTGGAGTGGCAAGCGACTCTTGTCTTTGAATAACGACAAGATCAAGCAGCTAGTTCAGAAATGTTGGTCAAATGATGTCAATTGTTTGTTCAACTTTGAATGAAGGTGTGTGAGTAAAGGCTGCTTTGGTTGATTGAGGATTTGTTGAACACACATCAGTTCCTGTCATTTGAACATGGTAATTCTATGACCTGGACAGCCAGTTGTTCTTGCTCTGGAGTGAAATGGAGGTCCGAATGGTTCCAATAATTGCTCCAAACAAAAGGCTTAATCTTTGCTGAAGCTGCAAGTGTGGATTCCGCAACTGAGACTTTGATGAGGTCGCGTGCGTAGGAGAAATGACCGCCTTTTACGTGCATTTGCATTGCTGGAGTGAAGTGGATGGTCCAATTGATTCCGATGATTGATTCAATCAAAAGGCTTAA